GGGAGCCGGGGCCCGCGCAGGGCCCCCCGCGAGTGGCTGGCGCTGTGCTGCTGCGTATTTATATGTAGGTTTGAGACACTCTGCTGTTGACAAGTGGTTTACGGGGCAAAGCTTGTAAGTGTGAAAGCCACCTCTGCGACTGATTGTGCTCTGGTTCTGTTTAATTTCTTCCCCATAAACCGGTTTTTATATTTCTACCAGAAAAGTAAAACTCTTTTTTAAAAGTGTTGTTTTTCTAAGTTGTAATTCCTAGGGGTCAGTTTGGGGCCAGACACATCCCGCCTTTCCGGCAGCGCAGGACGGGCCCCCGGGCGACCTCTGCAGTGCCTCGAGCGTCTGTGTGATAAACGCTGTTCGTGAAAGTGCAGATTCATGTGATGAGCGAGGCCCCGCGAGGGTCACGTCTTCCTCCGGCCGCCGGGATCTCCCAGCAACCAGGCCAGGCAGCGCCCGCCTCGGTCCTCTTCGTTCCGTGGGGTGAGACGAGACCGACTTGGGGCCCGCGGCGGCCCGAGCGCCGAGTGCCCCGCTCCGCGCGGGGCCCTGGCTGCGCTTCGCCGGAGCCGGCGCTCGGGAAGCTCCTGGCGGGCATCGGGCCGCTCACGGGAAGAGCCGGCCCGACGCCGCTGCTGTTCCTAGGCCCATTTTAATTCTCTTCCTCTCAGCAGTGGTGGGTCTGGTGGCCTCACTGACTCCCCAGCTGCACTCTCAGCGCTCAGGGTGACCGTCTCCCGCAGGTGGGCGGCCGAGTCCAGAGCCTCGTCCCCTGCAGAGCGGGTGTTGAAGCGCAGCGAGCGGTGGGCCCCCCTCACTCTCCGCCACGGCGGGCGTGTGCCTGAAGCAGGTGCTGGGGGAAACTGCTCTACGGTCCAGGCGTTCTTGGAGGGGGCTGGGCTCCTTGATGCATTGATTTGGCTTTGTGATTTTCGTCAGCAGCTGTGGTTGGCACCGGGACATTTTCTGTGGGTGGTTTAGTCTGTCACGCTTGTGCATGGCAGGGCCACACGTCTGAGGACAGCTTGTCTGGTGACGCCCAGCACCCCGGCAGGTGTTGTCCGCTGAGGTCTCCAAGGAGCCGGGGCGCAGGGGTCAGTCTCAGCACTACGATGCCGCTGGTGGCCGCTGCAGCACGTGTGAGCTCCAGGCCGGGGAGTGGCCCAGGCCGCAGCAGACCCTCCGTCTCCCCGCGGCTCCCCTCAGCAGTAGATTACCGGGGCCCCGCCTGTTTCCCCACCCCATCTCTGGCGAAGCCTCTCACCCCCCTGCGCCTCTCGCCTGTACCCCAGTTCTATATGTATGAATCAGTCTTTTATAAAGGCCCCGGCAGCCAGGGCTTCCCGGAATACACCTGGCTGTGAGGAGCCGCATGCCTCACTCCTGCAGTTCCCAGAAGCTGCGGCTGCTTCGCCTGACCCCCACCCGCTCTCGCACGCTGAGATTTGAGATTTGTACCGAGCGTCCCCCCCCCCCCCCCGCACGACTGTTTTACTTCAGCAGGAGCGTCGGCCTACTGCGCAGTTTGCCAAACGGGGGGCTGTTGTGCACATCTCTTTGGGGCGGGTGTATGGGGCCTACCCTGGGGGGACTGACGGTCTCAGAGCAGCAGCCCAGAGCAGCAACGGGGGTCGCCGGGCCACGAGGCTGTGGAGCGAGGGCTGCAGAACACGCACGAGCGGGTTTCACGCAGCAGCTGTCTGCTTTCAAGCACTCATGCACAACAGCATCTCTCTGGGCCCCCCTGGCCCTGGGGGGCCCCCACAGGCACCCCATACCTGAAAGCCGCCCCAGGCCAGAGCTAATCTGGGATTCTGGTCCCAAACCTCCGGTCCTCTGGCCCCCGACTCTGCTGCCGCTTCAGCACTGCTGGGGCCCCCGCCCCCGCCAGCCTCTCCCCGCGCCCCTCCCCTGCCCGGCCGCCAGGGCCACCGGTGTTCGCCGAGCTGCCGCCGGCGGGCCAGTCTCCAGGCTTTGACTCTGAACGGGGGTGTCCTGCTTGGCAGTTCGACTTGAGACGATAAACCATTTTTTTAACAAAAGTGATGGTCACGGGCCAGCCCACTGCACACAGGTGGCCACCTCACGCCAAGCTGTGGTTGTTCAGGTTTATTTCTACGCCCTGGCACAGATACAAATATTTTCTGCTGAAATACCCTACCCGGAGGAGCCTCCCGGCACAGCGGCGCCTCGTCGCGGCCGGACACCCCTGGACACCCGTCTCGCCCACATCTGCACGCTGCGGATGACGCTGGGCCTCTGCTGGGCCAGACCTCCGGCGTGCTGGCAGGACAAGTCCCGGCCTCAGGCCCACGCCTACGGTGCAGCCGCCACATCTTGCTTCCACACAAACTCCTCCGCGTAGCCAGTGCCCAGCCTGCAGCTTTCTGCACAGGTGAAGATGGCCAGGACACCCCAGTCCACGCTCCTGCCCAGTCTGTCAGCCTTCAGGTAGTACAGCAGCTGGGGCATGACCTGGGGAGAGGACGGTGCGGTCAGAGCACGCCGGGGCCGGGAGTGCCCACCGCTCTGGGCGCCCACCCCAACCCCCAGGCCGCTGCCAGAGTCGGGGCAACTCCGTGTCTCTGCTTCAGCTGGTGGCGCCCAGGGAAGAGCGGCGGACCGGCCGGAAGGGCACCGAGCAGGACCCGGGTCACACTGCCCAGCAGGGACAGCGGGAGGAAGTGCCCACCCAGGCGCTGCCCGACACCCACAGCCAACGGGGGCCCCGCCAGCCCCTGCGCCGTCTCTGCCTGGGAAACGCCACCAGCCCACCGCTCGGGCAATTCCAAGCAGATTTTGATGCCAAAATTGTCTAGAAGTTATTTCTTAATGATTGCATCCATTTGTTTCCCAATAAATCCACAAACTAAGGACAAATTAAGGGTTCTGACACACAACTCAGGCAGAAGGAACAAGAAAGGCTCTTTAAATCAGCGGCGCGGCGCGGCGCGGCGGTGGCTGGCAGCGCGCTGCTGCGCGGGCCCCACGGCTGGCCTGCTGAACCCACTCGGCTCCTCCGCTGGACTCGAACTGGGAGGGGGCGCCAACGCACCCAGGACGTGGTGCCCCAAGGGACCCTGCTCTAAGCGGCAAACTGAAGCCCCCAGCCAAACACATCTCCGCTCCGTCCGTAGCTGGCACCCCGGGTGTTCCAAAGGCTTCGGCGAGGATCTGTGCCTCCAGGGTCTTCCCACCCGCCATCCCGTCTGCTCCGCAAAGCCACCGCTGGCTCCGTCAGACTCCGCCCGGCAGTCGGCTGCATCGAACTTGATTTCTCACCTCTTCAGCCCCATCACCTCCGTCCCCTTTCCTCCGTCTCGCCTCCACCCCCCCAATTTCCTCCTCCTCGCCCCTCATTTCCACCCTCCTCCCCCTCCCCCGGCCACTTCGCTAACTTGTGGCTGTTGTGATGCGTATTCCCGTAGATCCGAGCACCAGCCGGCGCTTCAGCCCCCCCTCCAGCAGCCTGCAGCCCGGCAAGATGAGCGACGTGAGCCCGGTGGTGGCTGCGCAACAACAGCAGCAGCAGCAGCAACAGCAACAGCAGCAACAGCAACAGCAGCAACAGCAGCAGCAGGAGGCGGCGGCGGCGGCAGCGGCAGCAGCGGCGGCAGCAGTGGCTGCTGTGCCCCGGTTGCGGCCGCCGCACGACAACCGCACGATGGTGGAGATCATCGCCGACCACCCGGCCGAACTGGTCCGCACCGATAGCCCCAACTTCCTGTGCTCTGTGCTGCCCTCGCATTGGCGCTGCAACAAGACCCTGCCCGTGGCCTTCAAGGTAAGACGCTGCAGCTGCCCCCCGCCCCCGGCCCGGCGCCGCGGGACCTTCCCGTGGGGGTCTTCATGCCCGCAGGGG